TATCCTGATGAGTCGGTGAAACTCCGACGAAACAGTTTGTCACAGCCCCTCGTTTGTTGTCCTCTTCTCCCTCTCTGCCTACGGTTTACCGGGCAGTTCTATTTGACGATATATATATATATATATATATATATATATATACATATAAGTCTCTGTTGCCTCGTTTGTCTGCGCTCGAAATGCGCACGGCGCGTCCAGTCGTCCGGTCCGTACGTACGCAGAGGTGCATACGTACGTGGCGTACGCTTAAACGGGCTCCGCCGTCCGATCGTCGTCAGCCGCTGTCGTCATCGCGCTGCCGTCTCTCTCTCTCTCTCTCTCTCTCTCTCTCTCTCTCTCTCTCTCTCTCTCTCTCTCTCTCTCTCTCTCTCTCTCTCTCTCTCTCTCGCCGTCAACAAACTCCACCCGCGGTCCCGCACTGCATTGTGTGTGCGACAACACAAATGTGGGCGTCAACACATACTGTGGGTGTTGACGCCCACAACCTCACCTATATACACAAGTTGGTGGCCTCCCTCCCCCAGGGCCCACCAACTCCACCTCATTTTTTCATTTTTTTTTTCGTGAAAAATTAAAAAAACAAAAAATGACCGTCCGCGCCCCCGCGGGGCTCAGCCTTCCAGCCTATGGCGTGGGCCGGACCAGTTCCGGAGGGCCTGCCACCGCTGCCCGTCCGAAACTGCCCTGGCCCGCCCCACCGGCTGGCAGGCTCAGGCCCGCAGGGGCGCGGGCAGTCAATTTTTGTCTTTTACAATTTTTCACAAATGTTTTTTTTTTTTTTTTTCCCAACCACACGGTCGTGAACCCCAACACCCATCCCCACACCCCAGGCCCTTGGAGCCCCCACAGCACCCCCGATGCGGCCCGTGGCACGTTCGTAAGGGGGGCGTCCGTACGCCTGTACGGGCGTCTGTACATCCGTCTGTACGACCCGTATGGGAACCCCCCGTACGACGTACAGGCGACAACACAGCCAGGGAGGCCGCAGCACATCTGCCTCGAGGATCTGTGAAATCTCCCTCAATCCGTGAGTCGACACTCGTGCGCCGAGCGCTGCAGATCCACGTCTGCCCGCACCATCAACCTCAGCACCCGACCCGCCACGATGCTCAAACACAACAGCATGCACCTCCCTCGTCGATGATGTGGACGAGCGTCGCCTCCCCAACCCGGGCTGCCTCTTCTTGGTACTCGCCGTCGACCTCCTCGTGTTGCTCCAAGGAATGTCAGTGCGTCCGAGTAAAGAAGCCACGTCCCCTGCTGTCGCCTGTCCCCGCTCTCGAGGCCTGCCCGCCGCTGAGGTTGGCGCAGACGGTCGTGCCCCGCGATCTCGTGCCACACTGGGAGGGGACTGCGCCGCACCAACTCCCATGACACCCATTGCCACTGAAGCGTCTGATGGCGGTGTCGGGCTAGCAAGGCCCCATGAAACAAATTGCACGTGTGGTAGAAATGCTTTGCCTTTCTTTGAGTCGATCCTCACTCCACGTCTCGTCCCTGTGAGATCCGTCGCAAGGCACGCGCCCAACTCATCGACACTCATCGCGCTGAACATCAAACTGCCTCGTGGTTGCTCTACGTAACGCGGTGGACGACGCCGCGACCGCTGACTGGAGGGTCGAAGTGTGGCCGTCGATGCATCATGCCTAATGGGCGGTGGCGCCATGACTCCTGCTACGTCCTCGTCACATGAACCAGGTATGGTTGAGGACACACCCACATCTCCATGTCCCTCCCGAACCATGTCCCCCCCTGTCTCTACATCTCCCCCCACCGCCGCTAGACTCCAAACTGCCTCCTCATCCTCCACGTCTCCCCCTGGTACCGCTCCTAGATCTCCCGACTGAGTCGTATCTGCACTATCCACTATCTGGGGAGCCACTAACTAAGCAGCATCAGCCTCAGGCATAGTGGAGTGAACCACTATCTCGCAGCATGCCTCTCCGTCGTGGGCCACTGCAACGGCGTCCGCCTCCTTGTCTGGTGGTAGCGGGACGATGGGTGCGCTGTCGATATCGGGCGCTGGTGTCTCGCCCTCTCTCTCTTGAACCGCATGTGAAATGCGAGCAGCTGCCTCCACAATCAACCCACGAAACTCCAATGTCTGTGCATGTGCACTACCAACTGAGCCCTCCATCTGGTCATCCTCCGCTACATCGCCTCGCACTCCTTCTCCGCCAGTGTCTAGCTGAAGCATGGCCTCCATGTCACGTGCCATGGCCAGTGTGCGCGGGTCAGCATCGGCTAGGGCCTTGGCCCTTGTGGCCTCCTCCTCATCCTCCCTCGCCTCTCTCGCCATGCGCTCCTCCTCGGTGTCAAGTGTAGGCTCTTCCATGTGAACTGTCCATGGTCGAGGCCCAACATGCTCTTCGTCGACCTGTCGCGCAACAATAGACTCACCCTCCGTCATGGATGGCAGAGTGGCCTCTAGCTCGACCATGAAATTGCGCATGGACGCTGATTCCATAGCATGGTCCCCACCACCAGCCTCATCGTGTGGTGCCCCCTCATGATCGGCATCATCGAGCTGCTCTGCGTGACCACTACCAGGCAGAGCGCCAAGCGTCCCAATGTTCCCTAGCAACCATGCCCCACCCAACCCAGAAGCAACATCGCCGGCCACATCTCCAATGCCCATCTCTCTGTTGACGTCTTCCAGACGCTCACGTCCTACGTCTCTGATCTGCGCTCCCCCTGTCCCCACACCGGATGCACCCCTACATGACGGCGGTGACTCAAAACCTAGTATGAGTTGTCTCCTTGCAACCTTCGGACCCTTCCAAAGCCGCAGAAGCCTCACACCTCCTCCACGTCCCTCTTAATCCTTGCCGCTATATAATGAGCTCCTGCCTGTGGGCAGCTATCTCTGATGGGCTCCTCGCATGCCCGCTATGTACCCCTCTGCCCCATGTACGGTCGGCGATGAGGTATGAGGAAGCGGCTCGGCAAGAGGGCTCCCAGATTCGTCCCAGCATCCCTCAACTCCAAACCTGCCCCCGGCTGTGTCCTCGAATAAATCTCTGCTAGCGCTACACCGGCAAACCTCCTCAGGGTCACTCCAAGCGCCATCGCCGTCCTCTGCACGTCGGGCAGCAGCAGCGCCGTGGGGGCGGAAACCCTCATTTGCCTCCGCGCGCTCATCTGCACTCGAGTCGTCTTTCGGGTACAGCCTCAAAGTGGCGGCCCGAACCCCAAACACATCCTCAACGGGAGGCGGTGGTCGTGACCCGCAAACATCCCGCTGCCACAACTGCGCCTGCGCATCGCGGTCCTCCTCAGGTATGTTGTGGTCCACCCCCTCGCACACAGCGTCTGCCTCCAGGCCACCCTCGACATCCAACATGGACTCGTCCTGAGTCCACGGAAGAACCAAACCTCCACCAGCGCTCTGAAGAGCCAAAAGTCGCGTGTTGGCCGTGATCTCGACCAACTTCACGACCTTCGGGAACAATAACCTGTTACGATTCTTCGTGTGCATACTCTCGTGGATGGCCCAGTTCCGCTTTGCGAGAGAGGAGCATGTCCACATGTACAACAGACGAAGAGCGATACACTGAAGCTCAGGAGCACAGTCGCCATACTGTGACCACCAAAGACCACTCTCAATGGTCTCCTGCTCCCCAACACACATCTCCACTGCGGCACGTTGTCGGAGGGCACGGTGTCCCAGCCCTCCTATGTACCAAGTCCCTACATAGTACCTATTTTCCTGCACTGGTACCCAGATCTTTTCTCGGCGTGGACGGGTCCCGGTGGAGCACAGTCGCCATACTAAGATAGGCAGGCTCAGTCTTTTCAACTGTGCGCCGAGCGCCCCTCTAACTGAGTTATGGGTTAGGTGTGTGAGAAACAATCCCTGTCGGAGAAGGAAAAACTGAACAAAAGAAATAAAATGAAAATAAAGATATAAAAGAGAAAAGGAAAACAGGAAGCCTGATCAAAGTGTGGATCAGGGCTGTCGCTTTGGTCCGGGATAACCTAGCGGCGGTTGTCTACTGTATCGTCTGAGTTCCCTTTTTCCCTTGTTATTAATTTTACCATTAATTTTATCATTCTAACCTATCGATTTTTCAGTTACAGTTTCCTGTCACTTTCTAGGGAGGCCAACAGCTCAGGTTTCGAGTCCAGCGGTGGTATTGCGGTTCAGGCAGGCCCAACCCTTTGAATATTACTTGTATCGGGCCTGCACATCTAAGTTCCGCGCATTAGGACCCCGGTAGCTGTATTGGAGGCCAGTTACAATGGGGTCTGCGTGGACTTGTACAGCTATTTAGGCGGTGCAGCTGCGGGGGGAGGAAATTTGAATCGCCACCCTTTTCTCTCTATGATTATTGTTATCATTATTATTATTATTGCTTTACCGGTTTTGGGACGTGGCTTCCCCTTTCTTTTTCGGTCACTTCGCGGGAAAACCAACGGTTCGAATTCGAACCCATTTAATTTAGTGGCCCAGGTGGGCCGACTTTTCGCTACTATTCGTGACTGCTCGTTGCTATTCCGCAACTGTCACACTCGGCAAAGCGTCGCGCGGCAGGGCCCCACAAAAAGAGGGCGACCCGCGGCCGCATTGGTAGGAAGCCTACCACCTCCTATAAAGGGGTCATACGCCCCTTCCTTGCCATCGGACACGGGTACCCGCCAGGAGTAGGCCGACGCTATGTTTTGAAAGGGGGAATATGTTCGTCGGTGTTCCGTTATGAGACCATCGCCATGGAATGGTAATCGCTTAAGCAATAAGAGGGAGTGGCAGGGCCCAATAGTAAGGGGGGCTATTCTGCTATCGTAAAGTGCCGCCTTTTGCCAGAGTTTCGATTCGTATAGAATTCAAAATTTTAATTATTCCATTATTTTCAAAACGGTACTGCGAGCCGCCGTTTAGAACGCAGGTAACTCGACATGAGGCAGGTCTATAAAAGACAACAGAGGTTTGCTGCCAGGGGGTGAGCAGGGTGCCTGTAAACTATCCCGCCACTTTAGTGTTGCTGGTTTGAGGGCCTGAGCGTGAAGCACTGAGGGGTAGCCTGGGCCATCTGAGTGCGTGCGACCGGGGCTGGGTCCGTGGCTGTCTCTGAGTGGCTATGGCTTTGCAGGGGTATAGACCCTGCTACTGGTACCACCAGATTAGTTGGAAGCCTATATCCGGGGAGGGACCCTGGATCACGGCGATACTCAACTACGACGGGGTAGACGAGCTAAGACTGAGGATCAACGTGGAGGGAGGAATAGAGGAGGAGATGCGGACTAATGGAAGGCTACAGGACGCTATCACAGAGACGAGAGACCGTGTGGAGAGGCGCTCCAGAAGGGACGGTGTGACGGCGAAAATGCAGGTAACGGTCTCGTATAATGAGACCGAGACCTCGATGGACACAGCGGACTGGGAGCAGGCCCACCTGGAACGGGACTCAGGTGGGGAGAGCGAGATGAGCGAGGCGGAGGACCGGGAGATGGACCTCAGGTCCTGGATCAGACCGGGCGAGATCCAGAGGCATCACCAGGCTGCAAAGTCGGTGGAAGAGGGACCTGAGGCCAGCTCAGGACAACTGACACCCAGAGGCTGTGGAGCTGGAGAGAAGCCGAGCAAGGGGAAAAGACAGGCCTGAGAGCACACGCGAGAGAGAGAGGGAACTGGACGGAACTCGAAACAGAGAGGCAAGTGCAGTGAGACGGAGACTCCCGGGTACTCGTCTGACACGTGGCGCTGCCTGGAGAGGGGAGAGCAAGAAGGTGGTCAACGAGAGGTGTGAGGGGGAGAGTGGTGAGTATGACCAAGACATGCATGGCAAGTCTGATAGAGCGGGGCCGAGACCAGCGGGCGGCAGTGGAGTCCCAGAGGGCGTGGGACAGGAAAGGGGGCGTGAGTGATCGGTGCGCGGTACACAAGCTGCACGTGGCAAGCCGGTTAATGGAGAAGAAGTCAACGGAAGACGAAACTGTGCGACCGGGCAGTTACGTTCGCGAGGCCCGAACTTGGGGGATGTGCGTTACAGGGGCAACTACCCGGAGGGTGTGTGTGTAGGCGGACGAGAAAAGGAAAGAGACGAGAACTGAACGCGAGTGCGGTGATGCTGACGTCAACTAAGTTGTAGTGTGTGACTAGGCAGTGAGGAGAGGACATACAGAGATCGACCGTGCTGATGGATGCGTGTAAGGCAGAGTGTTCACAGCCAAGTGAGAAGGGGGGCAACGGAGAGAAAGACTTGGCGGATGAACGGGGTATGAGCTCGCGCAACGCTGCTAATGTGAGCATGTGAGCATAATACTGGGGCGTACATTTGATATCAACAAGTGCGCATGTTACAGAAAGTGCGTGGCTGATGTCGAAGCGGACGCATGATGGGAGGAGAGCATCTTCCATATCTGAGAGAGCCTACCCTTGCCTCATATTGGAGTGGAAAGACAGGGTGAACACTTGGTCTAGGCTAGAAAGTGACCAATGATCAAGATGAGGGAATAAGGTGGTGAGTGATAATTGAGTGGTGCATTCACGCAGAGGGAGGTGCGGTGCGCGAGTGATCAGGTGGACGATGCTCAGTTGGTAAATACGAGTGAGGGTTAGCGAAGACCGGAACTGTAGTGATAGTGTGCACGAGAGAAGCGTGAGGCATGGGCCCAGCCTGTGGCTAGGTTTTCCAAAGCCTTCCTTACTCTACATGCATTTTTACTTGGCGAAAAGGGTTTCTCTCGCTGGTGTCAGAGCCTGTCAGTAGGGGAACCCTTGATAAACATGACCGTGGGGTCTCGAGGATGATAGCGCATAGAAAAAGGGAGTGCATTTAATTTGGTCAGGTAAGTACCCCGAGTTTTGTGTTATAAGAAAGTGTACATCGTGTCAGAATTGTGAGTTCGGTGAGTGTGAGAGACTGTTGGTTCACAACGAGGATGAAGATAGAGCATCAGACTTCTTTTCTGTGGCATGCCATCTCGACTAAGTAAAGGATGGTAAAGGTACCAATTGAGAAGGAAAGAAGACTGGTGGTCAGACTGCATTGGTTATCGAATCCTAAGGTTGTGTTGGATAGTCTGACTGTGTTTGTCTTCCCTGGCTAGTTTTTGACGAACCTATCACGACCGAGGCTTCGGCTTGTTGAACTCGGATTGACGGGCCTGGGAATGTAGTCTGGAACACGAGCATGCTTATCAGTGGAACATCAGACTTGTCCGAGTTGGGAGGTACTTAATTGG